GGTCGATCAAGTTTTCTAATGTGGTGGATCAAGGGTTTACCTTTGCACAAGAGGCACTCATTTTCTCACTGTTTCGTAACTTTTTATAGTTAATTTTGTTAATTTTTAGGTCATCAAATATGAGTCGTATAGTAACTAATTTTAATCGAATTTCTGCCATAAGAAAGAAGTTGGTGTTCGAAGAGAATATCCACACTTCACTTCATACCCTCGCAAATAGAATTTCTCTCACGCTTTGTCTTTAACGTTTTGTCATAAAGGTTTCATTATTCCAAAAATAATTAATAATATTAAAAATATTGCAAAAACTGCAAGTTCAAACAATCAACTTAAATACAGTCAATTGGTTAAGCAACACTGACTCTGAGCTTCAAATTTGGCAAGGTATAGGTTCAATTCTTAGTAATTGAAGACTCCAAAAATTATTTACGAATAAGTAAACACAAAAAATAATTCCAAGACTACTGATAATGGGTATTTGACAATAGTCGAAATAGCTGTATGATCAGCCAAAAATTCGATTATATAAAATTTAAAAAAAATTTGTTGTTATAGTTCTCTACTGTTCGAAACCTCTCTTAATACTGAAACATCTTAAATTTGATATTAAAAAATATTTGAGAAAGTTCACATTTGTGTGGGTGATCTATAATCTATACTTATAAAATATTGACTTCTTTATTTCTTCCGAATAATGAATAATGCCTAATGAATATGAATACCGACTTCTTTACTCTTTGAGTTCATTGGGAACAGATTATAATTTGCTTACATCACGCAAAGCTGTAAGTCATTGATTGTCTCTTATTTTTTTAAGGAAAAACTCAATTTCAATTTTTGCCATACTTACTTAAATAAATTTCATAAATTTGAAAAATATTGCCAATATTTTTGTGTGAAAATGAAGAAGTTATTTTGTGTAACTTATCAATTGTAGGTCAAACAGAATACAATTTTACTTTGTATTCTTATTGAATCAATAAAAATTGAACTTTGTGCCATGAACTAAATTGCGAGCAAATATAATATATTTTTATTGGTATATTTTTACTGGTTCTGCTCAAAAAGTATCCGGATTTTGTTGTTTGTTAACTACTCCTTAAGTAATAGACCTTTTTCAAAAATCTTATTTTTGTTTTGTTGGTACACCCTTTCTTGACATATGGTACAAATTTGAGCGCCATCTGTCAATTAGTTTGTTTACAGCCGCTGTGAATGTGAGACCACCTCAAGTGCATTTAGCGATTTTTACTATGGAAAATTCTTGTTGTACGCAATTTTTTGACCAAACACGGCACCACTGTCATCGCTCAGGCACCATATTCGCCAGACCTGGATCCGTGCGACTTTTTCCCGTTCCCGAAACTCAAATTGCCTCTTCGTGGGAATCGTTTTGAGTCGATTGAATCGGTAAAAGAGAATTCGCTGAAGGAACTAAAAGCCATACCTGCACGAGCCAACGAAAAGTGTATGGAAGTTTGGGTTAAGCGTTGACATATTTGTATCGCTTCAGAAGGAGCATATTTTGAAGGAGATAAAATAAATTTGGAATCAAATTTAAATTTGTGTGTTTTATTTACAAAATCCGAGTACTTTTTGAGCAGAAGGTATGAAGGTATCTTATCTAACTAAAATTACATTTTCTACACATTTATATAAAACTTTATATGGCAGTTAAGAAAATCTCTGTATCTCACAAACTTCTTGCAATAAAATAATACGTGTAATCACAAGCATTTTAACATAAGTAGTCGGTTAACGAGCAAACTTATGAACTCAGAGATTATCAGGAACATAATTACCACCATTAAAATTTTAAACCCAACTTGCTTGTAACCTAAATGCTTTTACTAATTAAAACCGATGGCTGCAGTCACTTCCGTTACACTTTATTTTCCAATTTTTCTACTCGCCATTTTCTTTTGAATTTCCGCTTTAATGGCGCCCGTCAACTACAAAGGTACGGACGCCTTGAGTTGTTCTGTTGTTTTAAAAATGAAAATAAAAGTTGCAACGAAAACTTTGCAAAGGTAAACATTTTCCTTTAAGGGGGAATATAATTTAAACGCTTCAAAATTTTAAATTCGAAATCATAACAGCACAACACAATAAGCATTTGTGTGGATTTTTATGAAGTTCAACCATGAAATTTTAATATTCGTTCTCATGCGAATCGTGTTTAATTGTGATTATAAAAGCAAAAGCATGACTGAAGCAATTATTTTAATAATGAAAATTGCAGTAATTTAAATTAATTGTTGCGTAGGATAATGTACCCCTTATCCTACCCCTCTATGCAAATCGTTTTGGTTTCGAGTTATAACTTTAAGTATTCAATTTTTGAAAACAGCGCTAGTTAAAGTAGTAAGAGTCAAAATCTAGATTATTTATAATGGTCATATACACATATTTAAATTGAATTAACTATATAATATGTCATTACATTATATACCAAAGATATAATTGCGAAATTCAACTCACTTCGACCAAACAGTTGCATACAAATTGAATGCGATTATCCATTTGTATCTAAAATAAATCTATATATTTATTAGCAACCACTCAGTAAAAAAGTAGACTAAATAAATCTGGTTACTTGTATTCTCAACTGTTCGAACATTACGATATTAGAGCAATATGAGCATACTCGACTTTACATTGTGACCGAAAAGTTTCCGGTCACAATGTACAAACGCAAAATTCTTAATCTTCATCAATATTTATTTTATCTCCTTCAAAATATGCTCCATTAGAAGCGATACACAAATGCCAACGTTTCTTCCAATCATCAAAACATTTTTTATAGGCGCTTTCCGGTATGGCTTTGAGTTCCCTCTGCGAATTCTGTTTTACGTCTTATATGGATTCAAAACGCGTTCCTCTGAGTGGTAATTTGAGTTTGGGAAACAGGAAAAAGTCACACGGTGCAAGATCAGGTGAATACGGTGGCTTCGATGGTATTTATTGAATTTTTGGCCTTAAAATCGTTGATAATGTTGGCTCGGTGCGAGGGAGCATTATCGTCATGAAAAATCCATGAATTATCCTTCCACAATTGAGGCCGTTTACGGCGGATGCCTAGCTCTCGTGCTATCTCTCTAACACTCACATGAGGATTTTGGAACACGATTTCCTTTGCCTTTTCAATGTTTTCGTCGGTGGTAGAGGTCGAAGGTCGTCCAGAACGCGGCATGTCTTCGACGGTCGTACGACCGTCCTGAAAGGCTTTGTACAACTCATAAACTTGAGTTTTCGATAAAACTGATTCCCCATAAGCCTTTTGTAGCATTCGCAACGATTCTGCACACGAAATTTCGTTCGAAACACAAAATTGGATGCAAACTCTTTGTTCAATATTTTTTTCCATTGTTTTTTTCGCAACGCACTACTGAGGTGAACTGGTTTCAACAGCTGCCGTAAACGAACTGTCTGACAGATCGCGCTCATTTTTGGCATAGTAATTAAGGAAAGTGCTGCCAAACTACATAAACTTAAAATATCGAAAAATATACAGCGCGCGAATTTTAAATGAGAATTTCCGAAAACTTTCGGTCACAATGTACACATTTGGATCTAACATCTGCTTCAAATTGTTCCAGTTACTTAGGGACCTCATCTATCCAATATCTCAAGCATATATAACAGCAAATCAATCCTCGACCAGAATAAGGTATTCGAACAAATTCGAGCAACTCGCTCAGCCCTTAGCCTCGACTAGAATATAGTGACTGATCTTGATCTAGATAAAGATATAGTAAAGCTTATAGATGGTTGTATACCATAAAAAAATGTACAACCTAATTCAAACAAAACTTCATCAATGCCATGGGAAATGCCGAGTTCAGTATGGTCGCGCATTCATACTGATTTTGCCGACCCAGTGAGGAACGTTTACTTTTTAGTTGCAGTTAATGCATACTCCAAATGGGTAGAAACTTTTAAAACCAAACACATTACAACGGCATTTACAATTGAGAAATTAGAAGAAGTATTTTGTAGGTATGGAACCCAATGCGATAATGGAACCCAGTTTATAGCATAGGAATTCCAACAATTTTTAAAGTTAATGGCATTAAGGACATTCTTACATCTCCCGAGTTTCCAGCTACAAATGTGCAATCCAAAAATTTTATCAAAACTTTTGAAATATCTCTGGAAGCAAATTTTAACTCTGATTAAAAAGAAAGTTTAAATATAGTACTTAAAAGATTTCTGTTTGATTATCATACTATAAAAAATTATACAACGGGAGAGTCTCCAGCTAAACTAATGTTAGGTGCAGAAATGAAATCGTGATTCAATTTACAAAAACTACCAGTACTAACAGCTTAGTAACATTCAAAACCACGGCAGTCTAGAGAGACTGTTTTTACAGAAGGCACACCGATCTCCATCCTAGATTTTTCAGATCCAAATAAAGTAGGATGGAAGGAAGTGATAATTAAAGAGCGTTAATGGCGTTGAAGATATGGTTGCACAATATTAAGAACTAATAGGGTGATTAAGCGTCACATCGACAAGATATCGGCTTAAAGTAGTAGTACAATGTAATATAACTCAACTGCTAAATTAAAATGAATTGTAATTATATTTTACTTATTTATACCATCGGAGCTATTCTGTGCACTTAACAGATTTGTCGAATTCTTTAATAAAATTTTTGATTTTTATACAGCAGAAAGCTTTTTGGTATTCTAGACACATCATGACAAATTTCAAAGCTCAAGTACTTAGTGCATCTCACCACACTATGGTATGCTATAATATTCGTAACTGTTCGTAAAAAATACTTGTAAACAGCATATATTTTAAGTTGTCAAAAGCATTTTTCATGCATTCAAAGAACAATAAAATATATGCTTGTAAAGAGCGTATATTTT